GACCTAATTTCCGACCCACCGAAATAAATGATTGATTTTTTACGACCAAAATTGGATTTTTTCATCCAATAATACGGTCGTAATTAGTAACGCCGTAAACAGTCAATTTTGATCCGTTTCCTAGGGAATTTTCTAGGGACATGTCGGGCAGAAATCCCTCCAACCGGGCCTTAATAATTGTTGAATTTGTTGACAAAAATGGAACTGTTGAAGAAAAATGTTATATCTGATTGTTTCCTTCGTCACGGGTTCCAGGAATTATTGACACTCTCGGGTTCGCTGGTCTTTCCGAATTATCGACACTTTCGGGCTCGCGCTCTGCCTTATCTAAACCCACGCCCTCCGAAAATTACCGACACTCTTGACCTTGCGACCTGTTTGACTTACAGGTACACCCGTAAAATTAGTTCCGCCAGTACCGCTAGGAAATTTCGCGGTTGAAGCCTTGGTATTGGCGTTAGCAATCTCCCCTGTAATCTCTGCTTAAAGACCCGGGCCGAAGGTGCCGACCACATGAGCATAAGTCACTGTCGAAATATTAATATCCCAATTGTAAATCAATGTGTGAATCTATTGCGGCAAATTTACTCTTTCCAAGTTATTCAGCACCGATTTAAAAGGTCTAATGATTATGTCACTGATAACTATAAACAAGTAATGCAATATGGCTAATTTAGTCCCAAAGTATTGCAATGTATTCTCAAATAATAGAACTGGAATTAATAAAAAAATGAATTCTTTGCCTGCTAATAATTTCCGTAGTGTGCATAACAAACGAATATCCATAAATTTAACTTACTATTTAATGATCGAAAAAATCTAAAAAATATTGCGAATAAATAGCGTTAGAGGCGAAAAAGGAAGGAAAGGAGCATACGTACCGAAAAAGTGTTCAGAATTACGCACACACGGAATGGTTTCTTACGAGTCTATCAGAGTCAAAGGGTTCTTTTTCCTTTTTTTTTCAACATTGGAGGCAGACACGTCACGCATGCGCGGCTATCAATAGTAGTTTTGGAACGCGCGATGATCTCAGCTTAGTATTCTCAGTCTGAGACGTACTCAGACGCTGCTTACTCATCGCTTTAGTTCTAATTCTTTCTGTGATGTGATTTCATATAACCTCTTTCTCTGTCTCTTGAAAATTTTCGTGCGCATCGCGCACGCCCCACTTGATTTATATAGCGAGCTTAACTGATCGTATCCCTCACGTCGAATATATTACGATGGACGTCATCGGACCTGTTGCTCTACAGTTGGACCAAAATTCTCAGAAATGGACGACTAAAAAGCAAAAACGTGTTAATATCTCTAGAAATAGTATCTGTGAAATTTTGTGTGGGTCACAGTAATAAGTGTTTATACTCTTAGTGAATAAAGTGGACATGGAGCACTTAACCCCAAATTTTTCAACTGTGTAATGTTTATTTTGATGAACCAACGAGTCATTGTGAGTGATTGATAGAATATAAATAGTAAGATTTATTGAGTAAGGATGGGAATAGTGCAGACCCGCTGTTCTGAAGGAGCTGCCGGTGGAAGCGGCGTTGGTATCGGAATGCGGGATAGTCTGGGAATAAAGACACCCAGTTTTCAACAGCATCAACAGTGTCAGCGTACGTTAGGGAGCCTTGGTGGAGCGCACACTAGAAGTGGCAGTGTTAGAGCACCACCGAGGCAACCGATGCCTGATACTATAGAGCTGGAGAGACGTTTTACTAAAGTACTTGTAAGTATTCATTATCCATATAGATTATTTCTATTTGTCTTTACTTCAAGTAAAGAGCTTTACGTTAAAGGAAAAGGTAAGTTTGGTTTTGGTAAGTTTTAGATATGATATACAACTGTTTCAATTCGTCAGATGTTTTACATTTTCCAACATGTCACTATGAAAATACATATGAAGGATTCTTCTTCTAGTGGGCTGACTATTTTCATACCCGTGAATTCATTGGTAACCGTTTTCTCTCAGTTTCTATATTTTTTCTGTTTGAAGATGCTTTTAATATTTTTAATAATAATAGCAGTCAGTTTATAAAGTAAACGTTCAATTTCTTCATTTTATTCACTACCAAGGTATTTCTAGAGGAAAAGTACTTTTAAAAATACATAAAGATTTGGTTTTTTCTTCAACTTTTCAAAACAAATATTTTCAAATTTCTTCGAGTAGAAATTAACACCATAATGGTAGAAGAAGCCATTTGAAAAAGCGTAAAGGCAGGAGTTTAGATCTTCGGACCGGCTTAATTTCGATAAAAAAAATTCCACAACACTGGTTCCAATAGATTTATGCTTCCGTTAAAATGACATCATGGGATTTCCATTTCTTAGGGACAATCATAAAAAAAAGTCTCTTTAATGATGCTTTTTGCTCGTCTGATAACTTGTAATACTCTCTGGACAATCTAGTAATGTAAAGAAATATCTATTGTGATCACATTGGTGGGAAGTCTTAGGAAAAAAATCAATTGCTCATAGGTTGTCAATGATAGATTTTGAAATCGATAGACGATCTGATTTTAATAATCTCCATTTCCGGAACATATAATAACCTATCCGGGAGAAAAAGTACTCGCTTCGGATTCGAACCCGTATCAAAACACACTATTGTAATAAATCTAATATGCTGATTTATAGCAGACCGATCGAGAGAAATGTGGCAAATGAATTTATGGATATGATGATAATAGGTGGCCCACTTGACTAAAAATCCTCCGTGTAGAGGAAGACGGGATAATACACACCCTTTTCCACTAATGAATTAAATTGATTGATATATACTGCTCTCATTTCATTTAGAGGGCATTCAGACAAAAATATTTTTATCAAAACTTTGTCATTCAAATTGATAGGCCAAAAACGGAGCCATATAGAATCTTAGTTTTTTTCTCCAACTTTTGTCTTTTCATAATATCATTCCCAGATAGCACACAATACTATTTGTGATTTGCTTACTTACTCTAAAAGTATAATATTAGTATGCTTTATGAGTATGGGCATACAAGCAGTGTATATACCGCATTTACAAGGGCGAAGTCCATTTCTAATATGTGTTACTATTTTTATTGCGGAGTATGATACCATTATTATATCAGCATGGAACTAACAGACGCAGATTTTCGTTTTATTGAATAATTTGATTATTGATTCGGCTATGTAGGGAAGTGTGCCATAATACGGACATATTTTTATCTGAATTGATTTAGTAGAAACGAACGCTGTGAAATATCTGTCGGATCACAGAATGACTGTCTTAAATAATAAGTGCTTCGGGGAAAATCATTTAATTATTATTGGATTGAATATGAAATTGATGGTTTCGGAAAAAATCATCACTCATCAATCGAAAAAAATCATTGTTATTAGCAATTGTTTGCTGTATTTATTTGTTTTTTAATTTTTCAAGAATCTCTTTTGATAGGTCACCAGTCAACTATTTGCTGTATAGTTAATCCACTAATTTATGTTTATTGCAACCAAAAAACGTTAAAAATTAAAAAAGGACCAACTTGTAATGGACTCTCGCTTTACTCCAGCATCCCCCATAACCCTGTAAACACTTTTCATTCTTTTCTAGATTTTCGAAATTTGCGATTTTTCCCGATTAATTCATATGGAATAATGTCAGATGTTAATTTACCAATTTTCCGCACGGCAATGACAGTCTAATTTTCACAGTTTGTTGAAATGTGCATAGCACAGCGTAAGTCTTTATTTCAATTATTGGTGGAGATATTCAACATTTTTGTTCCTTCTAAAAACGTTTCCGTCACAATTGGAATTACGTGTCCTTCGAATGATCAATACACATCAAACCTACACATCAGGTGCGGAATTTTAGTAATTTTTCGAAAGAAATCTATTTTTTCAGACAGAAAGTTTTGAACAACGATTTGACGTTATTTCCTTCCCTATTTCTTTCTTTTCTTTTTAGTTTTGAAGTGCAGAAAATTTCCTAACGAAAACATATTTTCAATTTTACCGAAATGAAGTTGGGAAAAAAAATTTACTGCTTCGGAAAGTAGAATGTTTTCCACACACCTGCACAGAAAGTTGCTCTTTGATGAGCGGGAGAAAAGTGAGTACTTTCCGGTTTTCAGACAGCAAAACACGAAGCTGCCATTTCGGGCATGTTTAAAAACAGCATGTGCACTTCAGGCGGGAAAACATGACTTTCTGCCCTTGATGCACAATATACTTTGTGAATATCTAATAAAAAATCTATCAATCTTCGTATTTAGAATGGCGTCACCAATATAAGTTCATAAACAAATGATTTTCTAGGTTTTTTTTGCATTTTCAAGAGCGTTCACTACTGGAAGTTTTTTTCACATTTCCTATAACTGCATAGGTTCATCGTATCATGCATAAATTATGGATAAAAAAATCGATACCCTGTAAACCGGATTTTTTCTCTAAAAATGTTTTCAAGCGAAATAGATTCAATAAGTCGATTTTTATTTGAAAAACCCCTTTATCAGGAGTTCAATATGTGCTAAAAACAATCGTTCTAATGATTTTTTCCCTCACCTCTACTATCTGTTAAATTAAAAGTGATAAACAATGGCCAATTAATTTATTCATCGTTTTTCATTAGCAAATAGTCCAGTCCAAGGCAAAAATGAGAAGAATTTATCATCACTGAAATATTTCCAATGTTTAAAGCACTTTGCTCATGAAAATGAACAGTTTTCGCCGTGACATTTTCCTGCATGCCTTTCGCCATGATAGTTTCTAATTTATCCTTTTTTTCCAGGAATTTAATTTTCTTCATATGCGTGCACACATAAATTACGTATTCTATGCACTCTATTTTAGCTCCAATTAAAATCATGTGTTTTGAAATTAACGCTTATTTCCTCAACTACGCCATCTATCGTTGGTCGTACCAGAGCTTGCCCTCATTCGATTTCCTTCAATTCGATTTTTTAAGCAGTAACCATTATATACGTTCCTTCATATATAAGGAGTAGATTTACGGCAGATCTGCCGTTGAACATCGCATATTTAACAAATTATTGATTATTATTACACTCATTTAATTATTTTGGAAGGCATTTATTCGGTAATAAGTGGGAACATCGGCAAGGCATAGCTAGATATTTAGATGATAAGTTTTTTTGTATCAAAAATATGGCCACGACTGCTCAATCCATCTCAAACGTTTTTGTAAGTCTAATAAATTTTGACTCGGGCAAAGAGATAATCTATGCAAATGTCGTTCAACGAGTTCACCACATCAAATTTTTATTGCTCCCTTTATATTCGGATCATGGAATGGAATAACAAACCTATTTTTTTAATATTGTTCATTTTCACAAAGAAACTTTTCCATATTGACAGAATTGACGAATCCTCATCCATGGATTTGGTATTATTGATATTGAAAACAAGCAGTTTGCCGTTCCTAGCCGTAGAAGACATATGATTGTTACTTCACATGTTATTTATTTATTTTTTTAATTTTATTTTGGCATTAATTTCATTGATGGTTAGCTTCCGAATGGAGTACCTGTAATCTCTCAAATTTTCAAATATTTGTAAAAGAGAGGGTGTAAGTCGCATTTTTTTTAAAACATGAAAATTGAAATATCTTCAGATTTTTTTTCGAACGCATAAAACTCTTTGGTTCATATAATTAGGGCATAATGTACTGAATATTTTGCAAAAAAGAAAAATAAAATCAGTTGTGTCGTTTTTAAGATATTTGAGAAAATCGTTTCAGATACAAAGTTGAATATCTTCTGAACGAATCATCCGATTTAGCCCATCTGCAATACCAAACATCGCAGTCACGAGAGGATCCTTTCTGCCAAATTTCAAGTTGATAGATTGATTTTTAAAAATGAGAGAGGGTGTAGTTCGCATTTTTTTGAAACAAATAAAAATTGAAATATCTTGAGATTTTTCTTCGAACGCGTAAAACCCTCTAGTTCATATAATTAGGATATAATGTACCGAATATTTTGCAAAAAAAAAAATAAAATCAGTTGTGTCTTTTTTGAGATATTTGAGAAAATCTTTTCAGATACAAAGTTAAATATCTCCTGAACGAATCATCCGATTTAGCCCATCTGCAATACCAACCATCGCAGTCATAAGAGGAATCTTTCTGCCAAATTTCAAGTTGATAGATGGATTTTTAAAAATGAATGAGGGTGTAGTTCGCATTTTTTTTGAAAAAAATGATAATTGAAATATCTCGAAAACTTTGTAGGAACATATATATATATATTCTGACTGATCCATATAGAGCACATTGAGACGAACATTTCAGAAGAATGAAAAATGTAAACGGTTGGATAGTTTCTGAGATATTTCCAAAAAACTTTTCAGAAACAATCATAGATATTTGAAGAACTACTCGACCGATCGGGCTGAAATTCAGCACAGATGAAGTCCATATTAGAACCTATGAACTGACCAAATTTCAGATTTTTGGGAATTAATTTACCCAATTATACTCCTTCTTTTGTAAAAATTGACCCTCAGCTGACCGTAATCACCTACACACACGGTCTACAAACGTGGTATTTTTACGTTTCAGATCATTCTACATCATTTCCAGCCAAAATTAGAGAATCGAAAAATCGAACGATTGCAATGTTTCCGTTCGGAAGCAAAAAGGTTGTTATTTAAAAAAATGACAGATCCTTTCTATTCTCCATACAACGAGTACGGTAATTGATGTAAAGAGTATCGCTAGGACTCAAAAATAAGCTTTGTTAA